AATAGATAACTATTTTTATTAAATTTATATAACTTTTTAAGTAAAAATGATGAATATTGTAAAATAAATGGAGACGTGGCAAGAGCATGATAATATTTCAGGTGTTTGGTCTGGTGTAGTAATAAAAAGAGAAGAATAGCATGACAATGAGAGAGGCTAAGCAATAGTCTACCCATTGCACAATGAAAGATATGCTCTATAGAGGACTAAAAGGTAGTACATTTTTGTGAATAGGACCAAATATGTTTTGTTCCTTTATGGTATATATTTCCACATGATCTGCCATATATACCTTCATTAGCAACAAGTGTTGGATAATGACTGATTTTACGTATGACTCTACGAATATGGTCATTAGAAACACATGTTGGATAATTGACCTACAACAGGACGATAAATGTTGGTATCTCAATTTTTGCATCAGGTGTTGGATAATTGACCTACAACATGTAGAGTAGCATTGGGATGATCCAATCAAGGATCCTGCATAAACTGTGAGAAAACATGTACTAGAATACGACCGAGATGTCTCGTTAGGTAATAGTCACATGCAGGAGGCGACCCACTAAGAAATTATACTTAGTTGGGTCGCTGATCTCGACACTCATTGAAATGCCCCGAAATTAATAGAAAAATTTGCTTCATATAAGACTAAAAGGTAGTACGTTTTCCTGAATAGGACCAAGTATTTTTATTCTCATTTATGGTACATAATTCCATATGATCTACCATATATGCCCTCATTAGCAACAAGTATTGGATAATGACTAAGTATACAAATGACTATACAAATATGGTCATTAGAAACAAGTGTTGGATAATGAATGATTATTTCAATGACTATTCAAATCGTTTCTAATAATGTCTATTCTACTTGAATTGTGTAACCGACCATTTTTTCTCAAAGACAGGGCATTTTAAAACTTTCCATTGCCAAACGCTATAGTAGATAGGACTAGTTCTATTTAGGGAAAAGTGATATGTTTAAGTCCCGTTTGCGTATACTTCCCAATTTAATAATGAATTTTTAATAAATCATAATTCTGATATTTGTGTGAATTAAATAAGAATTGAAACAACAAGACTAAAATAAGATATTTTTGAAGTTATTTTTTATGGTCAAATTTATATTCGAATTGTAGGTGTCGAAGAAACGTGTTGAGTGGTGTATTTTGTGTGTGAATCAGAGTTACAAAACTTAGTAACTAGATTGTCCTAAGAGCGAAATGAAACTAAAGTAAAAGAATCAGAGTTAAAAAACTTAGTAACTAAACGTTCCTCTCTCCAAGTCCTACAACACATATATTTTTATCACTTAATGTCAAATTTTTTTACTCTCTATCGCTCCGTCAAGTCTCTCTCAAATCCGGCATAACACATTGGACTTAACGCAAACACCAATGCATTGGGATGTAATGGACCAGGTAGAAGTGGCGTAGAACTTTGTACAATGATCCTCGTACAATAATGTCTTGTCAATTTTGTCGGTGGTCACATTGGTGGTGCCTCGAGTAGTGTCCAGAATCCCTCCACCAACGCCGCGGACAAAAACAGATCGAGACATATTCCTCATAGTCACGTTGTTTCACGTGAACCTCAGCTCACACTCGCTTCACGTGAACTTCACACTCCCTTCACGTGAACTTCAACCTACTTTTTGGTTTCTTGAACATCCCTTTTAAACGTGAAAATATGTTATGCCAGCGCCTTTAAGCCTCTTCACTGTTACGCCCTCATTCCACACTTCCACACCATGAGTTTAGAAAAAGGATATAGGGCCTGTTTGGGAATAGCGTTAGAGATTAGCGTTAGCATTTTAGATAAAATTTTAACGGTGCAGATTACTTTGAAAACGCTAACGCTAAACGCTGACCGTAGAGAGCCTTTTCAAAACGCTAACGCTAATCTCTAACATTATTCTCAAACAGGCCCATACTAGCTAGGCCGGTATATGTAGTTTAGTGGGTCCAAGGTGAAAACAATCATACTTTTCACTGTCACCGAAAAATCGGAAATAATCTCATATTTTCGCTTGTGTGCGAGTTTTGGGTCGCCATTAAAAAGCTAACGGCCGCTTAACATAATTTTTGGAAAATGTTTGTTTTCGCAAATAAATGAAAGGTGAGATTATTTTAGTTAAATTTCTATTTTTTTCATTTTTTTAATTTCTAACATTAAATTTTAATGTATTCTCTAGAAATGTTTTTTTTAAAATAATGCTCCACCAAATTTCAATGTTTTTTAGAGTAAGACTAATTATTTTTTTCAATAATCGATAATCTAGTAATAATTGAACAATATATTGTTCTACACAATAATGGAGCTAACTTATTTACTTTATAACTCACTATTTTTTTTTTGTAATTCAATACTGTATTCCCCCCCCCAGAACATAAAACAAAATTTATAAATTGTTATATTTTTTTAAAAAAGAGACAAATCTCTAACAAGAGTGTACTGTTATAGTTTTAAAAAGATAAATTTTAAAATTAAAATTGAAAAAACAAAAAAGTAAATTTGCCTAAAATAATCCTACCTTTCATTTATTTGCAAAAACATGCTTTTTCTTAAAATTCGTTAAGTGGCCATTAGCTTTTTAAGCGCGGCCCAAAACTCGCATACATGTAGAAAGGTGAAATTATTTCTATTGACAGTGAAAAATGGAATTATTTTTGAAAAAACCTGAAAAGGTGAGAATATTTAAGATAATTTTTCCTAAAACTCATTTTCTTCAACTTATGTTCAGTTTTGACTTTTTGCATCCAATTACGTACGTTCAACATTTGATGAATCATAAAATAAAAATTATATGGCATATTAATGAGATAAAACAATATTTTGAAATCATTTTATATAAAAAATCAAATAAATTTTTTGTTTTAATATCTAATACTTCGTATAATTTTATTTAATTAATATATAAAGTTTTTTAATTTTGATTGTAAAAATTCAAAACTGGAAAAATACTAAAAAATATAGGTAGTACTTATTACTTATTCAAATTTTAAATTAGTTTTAAAATTCATAGGAATATAAAAGAGGTTCATTGCATTTTTAAATGTTTCAAATCTTTAATTTAAAATTAGTTTTAGTAATATACTAATGTATAAATTCTAAATTTAAAAATGTTTATTTACTTAGTTATAAACTATGCGTAGCGGCAAGGTTCTTTCAACTTTAGAAAAAATTGACAGGAATGACCTAGACATTTTGAGGCACCTATGGTGCTCCCTTGTTACTTAGTATATTGCCAGGCGAGGGAGGAGGCTGGGGTGGGGGGTTTAGGACGGAAAAGAACCATAATGTTAGTAATTTATGATATTGGGATTAAATTTAACACTATGTATATCTTGTCATTTTACATTGTCTTTCAAAAAAAATCTAGAGACGCTGCCCTAGACCTCGTCTTATTCTTGATTCCAGTCTTCTCATTTTTCTAAATCCGCCACTGAATATATGAAATGAGTATTTTGTTACTCGTAAATGTACATATACATCCAAAATAAATATAATGATCATTATGTATTCTAAAAATTTGAATACACTAATGTTTTGAATAAATACTAAAATAAATAAATATGTGAAACAAATATTGTGCTAATCGTAAATGATGGCAGTATATATATTGCACGATAGGACATTTTCCGTACATCCAAAACGAATACTCATTCACGAGTTCATGAATTTCTCGTACACTAATGTCCTGATTTATGATATAGAGATTTGCAAAGGGAAAAAAGTTAATTAAAGTAGGAGCAAAATATTGAAAATATACCAAAACAGAACTTACATGTTTTTATTCCAGAAATAGGAGTTAAAATACATTTACCTTACCAAACATGGTCATGTACATTACCAAAAAGTATAGTAATGTGGACATGTACAGTGCCACATTACAACCACATTACCACAGTGCAAAGTCCTATTTCGGGAATAAGAATATGGAACTCCTATTTTGGTACTTTTTTCTATGTTTTAGTCCTATTTAAGGTGATTTCTAATTTGCAAATGAGTATTAAGCAATACTTTTTCTGCCCCAAAATGATTTACACTTTAATTATTTGAACTCTTCAATAACTTTTGTTTACTCGTGTGTTTTCAATGGTCATTTGAGAAAATAAAATATTTTTTTTGCAACATAGTTCGTAGAACTTTTTTTGTAGTTTTTAAATATGTAATTTATACCTTTTATTTCTATACTCAGTTTTAGATAAAATAATTTAAAAAAAGATGTGATTATGCACGTTGTTTAAACAATGTAAATGAATTTGGAACAAAGGAATACAAAATAGATACTCCATCCCAAAATGAATCACCCCTTTCGATCAATGTATAAAATCTCGCGACTTTTAAATTTATTAATAAATTGATATTGAAATAAAAATATAAAAATTTTATTTTAGAAACTAAGTGAAAAATTCTACAAAATAAGAGGTGAGAAAAATATGTTATTTTATCAAATGATCAATGAAGATATGGAAACAAATAAAAGTTATCGAGAACGTGTAATAGTAAAAAAGTAAATCATTTTAGAGCGGAAGGAGTGTTTTGTTGCTTGTAAATAAGTATTCACCGGATGCACGAGAAATACCGTATATCCTGGCTTGTAGGTATAAGTTGCCTCATTTGACTCATTTTTAATTTGGGAAAATTATTCAGAGAAATCTCAACTTTACCTAGTATTTTAATAATAATAACACTCTTCAATGTGATGCATAATAATTCCAAACTTTACTGAAATTTACGAGTTTTAGGTCACCGTTAAAATTGCTAAGGAATAGTTAATAGAAATGGACTATTTTGAGCAACAAAACCAATTATGAATAATTTTTCTTTTTTTAGAGTTATTCATAAAGTTAGTTTTTTTCTAGATATTTTTTTTTCTAATTTTTAAAAACATACCGATAGAAGATTGATCGATGTGGTGTTCGTCCGGACCTCGGATATTTTCTTCCCTTGGATTTTGTCAGGTAATCAACTTCAAGGCAAGGAGCATAGATGAGCAGAAAAAGCAACAAATCCATTCAGGTAAACTACTGGCAGATTCGGAGGGCTCCAGCCTCCTCTACATAACGAGGGATTGATCAGACCTCATCTATATGTAGCTGATTTGAAGGGAAGCATTTGCGCAATTATTCATCTTTCCTCTCTCCCAGTTTGTGAAGCTGCATAAGCTTGTGCTTTTCGAGCAAATGTCTCCTCCTACATCTTCTGCTGTTCTATCTTGTTTGTGAGTTACAACAATTGATCTATTATCTACCTTGGTGGTGTTGCTTTTCAGATTGAGGAGAAATGATTCAAATAGTCTTATAATCTTCATGTGTTTCGAGATATGCTTTTGTTTTGTTTTTTTGTTTTGTTTTAAATCTTCCTATGTTTTGAGATATGCTTTGATTTATTTGCAGCCCGGATAGTGTTGTTACGGCAAATGAGCTTCCTGCACAAAATGGTTTTGCTGCATCTAAAATTTCGGATATCATGATTAGTAATGCCAGTGGAAACCTAGATTCTGTTCTGGTAAATTCAGGTCCTGTTGAAGCCTCAGCTTGTAAGGGGATGCAAAAGCAAGAAGCAAGTGTTGCTAGAAGTCGCCCAACTTTGTTGAATTTCTTTCATTTCTTTAGATCACTTGGTAGAGTGAATCTTGAGAGTGCAAATTGCGTTAGACCCCCAAAACCTCCACCCGCTAAAACGTGTAGCACCTTGAAAACCAAAACAGACCTCTCTGATCAGACTGATTTGCAATTTGCTAAGATTGAACACGTACGAGCTACGGATAAGACTCATGAGGAGCTGTTCACCCGTGACGAGCCCAATATTTCTTTGAGAGATGGCCCCAACCCCAATCTCTATGCGCAATTTATTTATCCAGATGCGAAAAAAGGAGTCCGAGGAGGAGATACAGCTGTTGAAGCTGGGGTTGCTTGCTCTTCTGTGTGCTCTGGCTATAGTCCAGAAAGATCTTCAAATGATCATTCAAATAGCTTAAAAAGAAAAAATCGCGATGACGAGGAGTCTGGATGCCCTAATGATGTATGTTATGGTGATTAATAACCTCTATTGTTAATAACTTAATATCTTGTGGTAGGTCAATTGTTTACCATATTGTGATGTTTACCGTAAAACTGTTTTTGTTATCAGGATACAAAAAATGAATGTAATAGTCTGAATACAATAGTTCCTGATCAAAGAGGTTTAAGGTCAAAGAGAAGCCGAGCAGCTGAACTACTCAACCTATCTCAAAGGGTGAGGAAACGCTTATCAGGATACAAAAAATGAATGTAATAGTCTGAATACAATAGTTCCTGATCAAAGAGGTTTAAGGTCAAAGAGAAGCCGAGCAGCTGAACTACTCAACCTATCTCAAAGGGTGAGGAAACGCTCTGATAAATGTTAATCCTGAGTGCTATTTCTGATCCTGCTATTGTTTTGTTTGTTTCACATTAATTGAATTGTATAAGAGGTTACTTACTAATAAAAAATGTATTCAGCGGCGAAGGAACAAGATTAATGAAAAGATGCGAGCACTACAGGAACTCATTCCCAACTGCAATAAGGTAATGAAACTGTCTTATTACCCAACCTCCAAAGTTTGTTTTATGCCTGTGCTTTTTTTTGTCTTCAAAATTTTTACCTATTGAATTTGGAGTTGATTCACAAAAAGTAAAACCAATTAATCTCACCGTAGTGTACTAAATGTTAAATATTGTTTTTTCATAATAGCAGGCACTATTTTTGTCAGTATAGATGATGGATAAATGCAGCTATCCTGAATCAATCATATGAGCTTTGGCTCTTCCAATTAATATGTGTGTTACTTCCTTTTTAATTCTAGACGGATAAAGCTTCAATACTCGATGAAGCTATTGTGTATTTGAAGACACTTCAACTTCAAGTGCAGGTAACATATGTTCTTGTCCATTGATTAACTTATTTATTCTGTGCTGCACAGACTTTTTTTTAGCATCACTGTTTTATTCACCTCTTTAGATATTGTGTAAAACTTCCTATGATCATAGTTGCATTGACAGTGAGTACCAACTTTATTGCAGATTATGTCGATGGGAACAGGTTTTTGCATGCCTCAAATGATGTACCCTGCGGGCATGCACGCTGCTCAGATGCAACAGTTTCCCCTGATGGGCCTAGGGGTGGGGATCAATATGGGAATGATAATGGGTTTTGGCATGCGTATGCAAGCCATGAATGGTGGATCCCCAGTATGTTCCTCATCCTCAATTCCCCTTATGCAACAAGCACAAATGTCTTCAACACCATTTTCTGGTCCTAGTAGTTTCTTTCCAACATTTTGCCATTCACCTTCTTTAGATACAAGCAACATCTGAAGATCTATCACATCCTTCCTTGGCCCAGAAAAGGTGATCAACTACCTCATGATAGAGACAACACATCCATTTACTCGAGGAGCTCAACTGATGTGTCTGGCCGCAAAGCTGGTGAGTTTGTTTCACAAATAGCCACTACTACTCTTTAGTATCTTAAGTGATCACGGAGCATCCTATTCGGGACAACATAGTAACGTTGTAGTGATTGTTTGGTCCTTCATTCCTTGGATATGTGGGGATCAGTCCCATGTCGAATCCCATGAATGGGGACAAAATACATATGGATTTATGTCACTCAATCTTTAAGGTTAACATAGGGAGAGATGTTTCACTCTATCAGTGTGAACCAATGCTTCAGTTCACTAGATTCAAATTATCAAACACTTCTCGCATCGCCCCATTCATAAAGAAAGTGGCCAGCTCATTTAAAGCTGTATTTTCTATGCTTATGTGGGGATATAGCATGAGCAGGTGACCTAAAAAGAGCAACTTACATGTGCAGGTTTTGATTAGAAGAAGTCTACACTAAGAGCAAGAGACTGATTTTGGTACTATAAAACCCACTCAATCCTTCCTCACGCTTGGGGATGGGCTGGGGGCAGCCATGTGCAGTTGTGCAGCCATGCTGGAAGAATTAATTTGATGCACTCCGCGTGTTACTTTGGGTGAGAACACAATTGTGAACATGTGCACACGGCATTTGCTAGGCTTGACCCAGGTCATTTAGTTCACGTGCTCTGGCGCCCCAATCGCAAAACGACGAAGGTCAATCTACGCGACACATTCATTTATGAATGAGCTTCTGAAATTTGTCTTGTGATAAGATTTGTGTATATTTGAATTATAAATAAACGGAGAAGGATTGCGGGAGATTTTTTTGGATTTCAAATTTGAATTTGAAATGAATGTACACAACCCTGGTTTTGAATTCAAATCGGTGAAGTTCAAATATGAAAGGATATGACTCTAACAAAAGAAACATAACCATTCTTGAAAAGAAACAATCTTCTCTTATTGATAAAGCACTTGGCCACAATGTGAAAGTGAGGAAAATTTTGAAAAGTAAACGGAGTATGTGCACGATTAATTCATTTTTGCCCCAAATTAAGTTGGTCTCTTTGTTATTTACAAAGTTAATATATATATCCACTTACTTTCTTTACTTTCGTTACTCATATGATAAAATAATACTCTTTCCGTCCCAAAATAAAGTTCTTATTCAATTTACGATGTTTGACTGAAATTATATTCAAATCAAGATAGGTAAAAATTGGTGTGGAATTTTAAAATAAAAGTTATATACTAAAAGTCTACATCAAAAGTTGTACAAAACAAGTAGTGACAAGATTATTTTATTTAATCAAATAGTCGATCAAAATTTATACATAAAGTAGAGTTAGTTTCACTTGCGAATAGTAACTAGGAGTCTTTTTTGGGACGGAGGGAGTATAGTCATGTGACTTTGTTTCGTAGGGATTGACTCCGATGAGATGACATCTTGTGTTAAGATGACATATTTCATTCAGATGACGCTGGAGCTCGCCACTAATTACTGCAAAGCTCACCACTGATCACTGCAAAACTCACCACTGTCCATTGCAAAGCTCACCATGATTTTCCAACACTTTACATTTTTTTCAAAATTTGATGGTTAAATGCTTACAAAGCCCAACAACAAAGCTCACTGATTCTCATTGCAAAGCTCACCGAATATGTGAACAAAGCTCACCACATTTTAAAGTTTAAAATGATATTAAAAAAACAAAGGGCGGTGGTGCTGACTTCCAACCGCTGCAGACTACCGCCGTGGAACGGTGGTTGACTGGTGGTGCAGTTTTATTAGCTTTTTTATAAAAAAAGTGGTGAGCTTTGCATTGTTCTTTGGTGAGCTTTCTATTGTCAGTTGGTGAGCTTTACATTGATAGTTGGTGAGCTTTGCATTGGCAGTTGGTGAGCTTTCCATTGGCAGTGTTGTGTATTGTGTCATCTGATTGAAGCATGTCATCTTACCATAAGCTGTCATCTCACTTCAGTCAAACATCGTAAACCGAAACAGATAATTTATATTGGGATGGAGGGAGTATTAGTTATTTTTTTGAATGCTATTGACTCTATTACAAGGTAGTATCTGTTCATACTATTCTCAAGCTAATGACGCACAAAGAGCCAATGTTGCTGCCTTCGATGGGGCTCGAACCTGGGTGAACTTCCCCATGAATCCTGGGGAGTGGGCTTGCTACCACTCAAGCCAGGGGAGAAGTTCGGAGGGAGTATTAGTTATGATTTCATTGGTAGTGTGGAATAGTCAAGAAATAATTTATTACCGAGTACTCCGTATTTATTTCTTCAAAGTTTGTTTTATGGTGATGAAATTTTAACTTGTGCTATATACGGGGTAGAGCGAAATTAATTATTTGCGATTCTATGTGGATTATTAAAATGACTTGATTTTTTTATGAGGCATAATCATTTAAACATAAAATATAAATGATCTAGGTTTAATAAGTTTTTACATATTTATAACTCTTCTTCCCGTATAAATTTAAAAAAAATATTAATACAAAAAATATTAGTGATCCTATGATTCTTTTTCCCCATATTAATTTTAAAAAACTTAAATTGTTAAACTTATAATTCTCAGACTAAAAATATGATTCTTCTCGCCACATTAGTTAAGATTAACGAAAAATGACTCCCCTTGGTATTGATTGCAAAAATTGAATGTTTTCTCCTGTATTATTAAAAAAATCAAAATTTTGGGGATCCTATGACTCTATGATTAAAAATATTAAAAATCAATGAGTCTTTCCCGCACATTAATTTTAAAAAAAAAGTAATACGAAAATTTTCACGCTTTATTAATTCTGAAAGGAAATGGAGAAATATTAATATATGAGTCAAATATAGGATACATTTTAATATATTAATACATTTTAAAAAATAACCAAACTAAATCATAATAATTTTATCTCCAAATTAAGAATTCCAATAATGTCAACATAGAATACAAAATGTTACAATGAACTGCCTATATATAGTGTTACATTATTGCAATGCAATAATATTATTTTGAAGAGAAAAATATGTTACTCCTATTTTGATTAGGGATGGGCACGGTCCGTGATACTACCAGAACCTATCACTAGGGATGGCAACGGGTCGGGTTCGGTCGGGTTTGAGTATATTGAAACCCGACCTAACTTAGGTCGGGTTCGGGTTTGATTTTGGCGGGTCGGTTTTGGATATTTATTTTTTCGGTTCGGATTCGGTCTAAGATTAGGTCGGGTCGGTTACGGTCAGTTTCGGGTTTGAATACTAATTAAAGTATTCATGAAAAATTTAAGATTGAAATGCATTAGAAATTAAAATTTTTTAAGATGATATAAAATTTAAGATATTAACAAAAATAATTATGACCGAATAACCCTTAAAGATGTCAAAATACTCTTGTTTGTTCCGCATGCGTGGAAAAGGGAGCAGTTGCGGATTTCTGGTCTAGGAAGGCAAAATAGCGGACAAAGGCGTTTTGGGCACATGTCTTTTCGGGGCAGAAATGGCACTTGGTGAAACTAGAGAGATCAAACGGCAGTCGTCCGATCCCGTTGGGGGCGACGTCAGACTAAAAATCCGCAACCGCTCTATCTTCTCGCGCGTGCGGAACAAACAATATTAAGTTTCAATTAATAATATATGGAGTAGAATGAAAATAGTACATGTGGGACACACAATATTAAACCACAATAAAAAATGAAACACAAAAAATGCAATAAGTTTTAAAACATTAAAAATATGTGCATAAAAAATACATGGAATATAGGAATTTAGAGTTTTTAAAACCTTATTGAAAGTCGGGTACATGTCAGGTCGGGTCGGGTCGGGTACAGGTCGGGTCGGTCAAATATACTAACCCAAACCCAACCCGACAAAAGTCGGGTTCGGTTTAATTTTTTTCGGGTCAGTTTCGGCTATTTAATTTTTTGGTTCGGATTCGGATATAATAAGCTCCGGTCGGGTCGGTAAAAGTCGGATTCGGATAGAATTGCCATTCCTACCTATCACGAATCGCTTTGTTTAAGTGAAAAATATTTGTCATCCTTACAAATGTTCCTATGACTCAAAAAGAAAAAAAGTCTTCGGAATCTTCGCTTAACTTCAAAAAATCCTGCATAGGGATGAACATTGAATTATAGCGTTGTAAAATTCCTGATACGCCTCTTTGCTTTCTTGAATCAAAAATGAAATTTTCATTCGTCGTTGCGTTCGTCATTTATAAAAACGTGAAAAATAATATTAAAAGAATATCCAAAAGGAGTTTGAACTCATGTCCAACAATTTCTCCCTTTTTGATAATGACAAACTGTAGTTGAGATTTGCAAAGAGTTTAAGTTTAAGAATTACCTCCCTTCAAATGATTCCCCCTATATGGTTAAATGTGAGCGAAATAGGAATTTGTTTCAAAAATTTGTTTTCTCAAGTACCCTTTCCCCCCCTTTTGACATTATCAAACAATTCCTTCACTCTTAAACGATGCCCGGGTAGTGAAGGATAGCCCAAAAGAAACTAATTTCTATTTTATAATTAAAGGGGCAATATGTTCCCAGACGAGCAAGATTGCCAAGCCAACAAATATGTTCCAAGAGGGGGAAATGTTAGGGAAGATGACGAATGACGGTGTCTGATCCAGTTTTGAGAACGAAAAAGGGTTATTAATAGATTAATCCTCAACTTGTTTAATCGTTTAGGTGTTTGGGTCATAGACAAAAAATTGAACAGAGGTGCTTAATCGATGATTTGATAATGAAAATTATCGATTAGGCATTTTGGCAGAGGAAAAAAATTGGACAGAAGAGTCAATCGATTAATCAGTTATGGGGTAATCGATTAAAAAACTAGGAGAAACCAAAGACTTTGCTCAGAGGGCCTTAATCGATTAAGATTAAAGGAATTAATCGATTATTTTTGGTCCTGATAAAAAGAAGAACAAGTTTTGATCAGAAATTCATCAAGTTCAACCATGGGGCAAAACCAAGGAATGAAATACCTGTTAAACGACCTTGCAAAAAAAGTTTATTGCGCCTCCAGTGCTCAAGTTAGTAAGTGTAAAATAAAAGAATGAATTAGTTCATAGAGATGTCCAAAATACCAAATTCGTTCCGAATGTGGAAAAACTCTCCCTACTAAGGGGTTTTGTGAAAATGTTTGCCAATTGATGTTTAGTTAATTATGACATATCTCTTTTGAACGTGATCTCGCATGATGTGATGCCTTATTTCAATGTGTTTAGTCCGAGAGTGAAGAACATGGTTCTTTGTTAGACTAATAGCACTCATATTGTCACACCTAATTGGGATGTGATCAAGTACAAGGCCGAAGTCCACTAGTTGTTTTTTTGACCAAAGAATTTGAGCACAACAACTTCCTGCAACGACATATTCCGCTTCGGTGGTGGATAGTAGAATGCTAACTTGTTTCTTGCTAAACCAAGAGACTAACGAGTGACCGAACAAGTGGCAAGCACCGCTGGTACTGTCACTACGTCAAAAACAGATGCTGACAACTGTTTCTTTTAGTTGTCTAACTGTGTTGGTTTCAGTAGTCTTCCGAGCAGCTGTCTGATATATTTACAGACTAATGTTTAAAAATTATTGTGTAGTACGGTTGACGACACCTATTTTGTGATCTTTCAGAGTACATGTTTTTGAAGTTGTCCTCGTATGAGTAAGACATCTGTTTTCTAGAGTTAAAGACAATTGTGATTTTTTGTTGTCTATCTATAATATATACTACTGTTGTTTTCGACTTCAGACTCCTATTGTTTGGTGTTGTCGGTCAAAAGTATAGATATCTAATTTTTAAAGTAGTTGAAACATATATCAGACTACTGCTCGGAAGACTACTAAATAGAAATAGTATCAGACAACTATTATCTAGTGTTATATTTCTAAAACATAGATTACTAATTTTGTTGTATGTTAAACAACCGTTTCTTTCAATGGTATAGTGCGCAATAACACTATGCTTTTTTGTAGTTGTCCTTAAAATATTCAAACTATATTTTTGAACAGTAGTGTAATTGATTATCAGACAGATGCTCGGAAAACCACTACAAATATTTTCATCAAACTGTTATTTTGTGTTGTATGTACAAATTAAGACTACTACTTTGGTCTTATTTTAAACAACTGTTTGTTTTTGTTGTATAACGATTATTAACACTATGATTTTGTTTAGTGGTCCTTGAAATATTCAAACTATATGTTTGTGTAGTAATCGAATTAGTTATCAGAAACTTGCTTGAAAGACCACTAGAAATATTTGCATCAAATAACTGTTGTTTTTTAAGGTATATCTAGAACATAGAAGACTATTTTGTTTCATTTCAAACAACTGTGTTTCAGATGTGTAGCAGTGATTAACACTACAGGTTTGTGTAGTTGTCGGCATACAATTCAAACTATCAAGTTGAACAGTGGTCAAATTGTTTATTCAAACGCAGTTATTTTAGGTTGTCTCTCTAAATCATAAGCACCCATATTTAATAATTAAAATTTATTTCAAATATAAAATATTAATCACGAAACAAAAATAAATCATGTATTCAAAATATTAATATCATATAATAACTTAATATTTACTTAAATATTAGTGGAGCAACATAATGCAACATACATATTACAAAGGGTTAAAAAAGACAACACATTTTGGATAATGATACATCAAAATAAAATTTGTGCAAAATGTCTATCACAGGCAGAGTATGTGGAAGAGTGAGTATCACAGGCAGAGTGACTTCTTGTACTTTACTTGGCCTCTCAATATTAAGACAATTCCTTGCTAACCAATACCAACAGTCCCTGGGGTTGAGCCTAGCAATATTATTGGAAGAACATTAATCATGGAAATAAACCTCTACAAAGTAAATACTTAATCAATCTGAAAAAAGAAAAGGGTAAGAAAAATATCTTTTTTGAAGTGCTCTTTAGAATCTAAATTTGAAAGTTATGTTTATCATTTGGCAAAATGGCAGTAACATTTTAGATTAGCTGAGATGACTACCCCTTTAAACCAAGTACAACTAAAGCAAGACCCTAGTTTGTATGCAAGTCATAAAACAATCACTTAAAAAATCCATGTACATGAACCACATCAACTAAAGCACCAAGACATTTACCTCACCAAATGTTGATATGCTTCTCAAGAGAATGAATTTGAAAACTTCAATTTGGTGCACTTCTGAAGATTATCAACTCTAGCAAACTTGTTCCTTATGAAATCAAGTGTCTCAACAACAGGAAGGAGCTGCAAGGACTCATCCATGAGAAGCAAGTCATTGCAAGGACATTAAACAATTGACAAACGGTTCCAATGCCACGAAGCCTTTATATCAACAATCCTACTTGCAAAGACATGCCGCAATGCATCCTAAGATAATTTTATTAAATGGGAATTCATTCATTCATTTTAGTCTCGGAGATTTTGTACAGTATGTGAGAACTTTTCAGTAAAATCAGGGGGAGGAAAACTTAGAGATGAATCACAGAAAATCAATATCTCCAAAGTATGTCTCAGCTCGAGAAGTCTCAGGGCGACAGAGGTAGAAGGTAGTTATTTGAATACACAAACAAACCCACTGCCCAAGCCACAGTCACCAGACCAGTGATTCAAAGGCCATAGAAGCAGCAACTTCTAAGTGCAATAAATCTAACCATACAAACAGTTGGGCATTCCACAAAGGTGGCAAATTCGCCCAAGCAAATTCCCACAATGGTACACCAATCTAGGTAGTCCACAAAGGCAGCAAAACCACGAGCAAAGTAATGTAGCCATAACAACAGGTCCAGAATAATACAGTTAAAACATTCATGAATTGTCCACAAGACATGAATCAGTTGGGTAGGCCACAAAATCCAGCACCATACATTCAAAGCAAAAAAAGATGATTGTTTATTCGTATTTTCCATAACAACATCATGGACACCTCAAAAAACTTAGATTGGGTTAAGTCATGCATACTACCCCTTTTCGATTCAACGACAACAATCCTCAAACCACAATCAACACTCACACAGATAAATCACATAAATCAACCACGATAACAATTATAAACGGAATTTCAAACCTAGATGGTAAGAGAGAGAACTTGACCCGAACGGAGGGTAGACGGCGTCACGCACAGTCCAATATCGCTGCCCAAGCAAGCCCGTCATTGCCCAAGCCCGCCCGGATCTGTCATCGTTGCTGCTCGATCTCATCCTCACTGTCCATGGTCAGAATTCACTGCCCAAACCTCACCTTCATGGCCCGGAGGTCGCCGAAGTTGCTGGGTGACCACGGTTGTTAGTTCGCCGGAGAGTTACCGGCTCACCGCCGCCACTGGATGCTGGCTATTACTCTGCCAGAGCTGCTGGACTTTGCATGAACAGAGGTCGCTAGACAGGGGGTTGCCGGCAGAAATCAGTGCTGGTCCACTTTGGCCAGTCACCGGTGTCGCTGCCGGAACTCGCCGTTGGATTGAGCACTGCATCAGATCGAATCATACCAAAATCGATCTAATCGGATCAAATCAAATTCAAATCCAATAAGATCAGATCAAATCTTTAAAAAGATATATTTACTTAATTGTAAACGTTGTGTCCTATTTTCCAGATTGAATCTTTAAATGCATCGGATCGGACCTAATTCGATCAAATTAAAGAAAAACAGATCTAATGGGATCAAATGAATTTCGAATCTAATAAGATCATATCAAACTTTCATAGGAAACATGTTTACTTGTATAGGTTGTGTCCTAATTGCCTGATATAATCTTTAAATGCATCAGATCAGACCTAATCAGATCAAATCGGATAAAACAGATCTAATCGGATTAAATCAAATTCATGTCCAATAAGACCAGATCAAATCTTTAAAAAGATATATTTACTTGTTTACGTTGTGTCCTATTTACCTGATGTAATCTTTAAACGCATCACATCGGACCTAATTCGATCAAATTAGACCAAAACAGATCTAATGGGATCAAATGAATTTCGAATCTAATAAGATCCTATCAAACTTTCACAGGATACCTGTTTACTTGTATAGGTTGTGTCCTAATTTCCTAATATAATCTTTAAATGCATCAGATCGGACCTAATCTGATCAAATCGCACCAAACAGATCTAATTGGATCAAATCAAATTTATGTCTAATAAGACCAGATCAAATCTTCAAAAAGATCTATTTACTTCTCTACGTTGTGTCCTATTTGCCGAATCTAATCTTTAAATATGGGTATCTTGTGGAATTGACTCCATGTGAGTAAAAAATTCAATTAACAAAATAATGTAAAACTAATATATTATTTTATTATTATAATGGTAACAATTAGGTTTTTTGACTATTTATTTTTTGGAAACTCATCCTGTACTTTCATGAAAATAGTTCGGTTTGATTCGGGATATAATTTGTTAGAACCATTTGAAAACTCACTTTTCGGTTCGGTACATTATCGTTTCATTTCGAAACAATATCGAACCGGTATTTTTGCAACCCCTAATTGAAAGTGTTATATAAGAGTGAGAAAATTTATGGACCAAAAAACTTTTTTGTTTCAAAAATCAGATTGTTGATTCTAAAAATTTTAAAGCTCATCTCAAATTTTAGAATCCCGCCTACACGAGTTACTGTTCACTGCCGATCTTAAACCCTTGCTTTCACCTTGAATTTGTTGAATTTTTGGACTGATTCTTAGAGCTCTAGAATCGTTTTGGGCATGGCAATCCATTCTTCAGCTCAATTTGACATTTTGGGAGCTGGGTTGAGCAAGAATCGGAGGTCAACCTTCTCGAGTTACTGTTCATCTACGACTTTTGAAGGTTCAATTCACCTCGGTCCAAGCTCATTTGGAGGCAATTTTTGGGGGATTATGGGCGACTTGGGATGCTCTTTCAACACCTGAAATTGGTTTTCCAAACCGGTTGAAGGAAGCTGCGAATTAAGCAAAAAATTTGGACTCGGAGTCACTGTTCACAGTGAGTTCTTCAAGTCCAGGTTTACCCATTCTTTTTGCTCGTTTTCCATCCCATTTTCTGGTATTGTGTTCGTGATTCAAGGGCCATTCAACGTCTGGTGTTGGAATCGTAATTCAAACAACTTAATTTTGGTCTCTTTGATTTGGTTGCTCGAGTTACTGTTCATGTTCTAATTGAAATTGTGAAGTTTTGTTTTTAGATATGAGAAGTAATTATATGAGAAGTTTTCTTTGAACGTAAAAATGTACAATATCTTTCTGCTCACTTCAGTTGTTTGTCTGTTAACAAGTTATTAAAATCTCCCGATTCCGAGAGAAAGAAAAAGAGCTTGAGAAAGGAATATGGAAGAATTATACGATGTATTGCTTTCTTCACTTCTGGAATACTTGCCTTCATGCCTCTTCATTTGTCTTTTGTCTTATAATACGAAAATATTTAAAAGAAACTCTATTCCCAACACTGGTTTTTTTCCCTAAAAAGTCATATTAGAGCTGAGTTTCAATTTCCAGGAGTATTTGAGTTGAATAAATATGAGTAGAATGGAATTATATGCATTTTATATTTTGTAAATAATCTTGTATTTCTAAAGAGTCGAGAATGTCTTCATATTTTCTAAATACTTATATGCATTTTGTATTCTGTAAATAATCTGATTTCAGATGCATGGATTAGATTTTGGCTACAGTTTTGCGTGAACTAGGTTGAACAAGCTGTAAAGTTGGAAGATAGAAGCAGATTGATGAGGCTGCAGCTTCTAAATATGCAGAGGTTTAAACTTCGCTTGTTTATGACCTTGCAGATGAGGCTGCCTGTATATTTTATTTAATAGGCCAATTGTTTTGCTCTTCAACTTCAATGTTTCACATTATTGCTTCTTTTCTTTAATTTGAATCATCAAATCTGGTTTTTTTTGTATTCAGATTTAAAATGGATATGGAAGACATAATTCAATCATTAGGTGGAGACCTTTGTCCAATTGAAGCTGAATTGGTGAAGGCAACCACTGACCATCTCTTAACGATCATTGAGGTATGTGTTCTCCCTTCAGTTATTGTCAATGTAAATGACTTGATGTTAGTTTTAGAGTTTTTTCTGCTCTAAACTGATGGCCGATAGTATGATTTTGATTTTACTGATGGAGTTATCTAAATATAACAAATCCAAGTATCTAAAGCTACTTTTTTTATTTTTGTTACGAGTTGTTGAGATAATCAAGCTATTTAATTCCAATTATGATGATGACAACACATCACTCTTCGAGTTTTTATTAACAACTTTTGCACCAATTTGAAGCTACTGCACAAAGATGAAAAAGTCACTGGTTTCTATTCATTTCTTATTGTCTCTCTGTGATTTCTTTGAGTTCAGTTTGCCTCAAATGAGATAGATAGAGTACTTGGCTCAATTGTAGAAGCTACATCCTGGACTAAAATTGTTGATACAACCCCATCCACCACCACAAAGTGTCCATCCAAGGTCATAGCAGCTGACCGTATAAGTACGACATAGTCTACTAGGGATACCCAGCTTCCCTTGAGGACTGAAGATATATTGAAAATGAAGGTGGAGGTGGTGACTACAAACTATAGATTGGAAGTAAAAGAAGGAAGCAACACAGGTAATAGATTTTATGACTTTTGGCATGCACATTTAATATGGGTGTATTGTCTAAAAAGTTTTAATTTATGACTGATCTATTTTTTAAAATAAATTGTGCATACTAGGTTATTATTCTGTTAGAAAACAAACAGGTAAGCTTAATAAAGTGGTATGATGGATTGATGAGTAAATTTACCCAAAAACCAAGTCACTTGAAGCTTATTTAGGCTTATATGGATGTCCTAAGAGAGTTTATGAAGAGCAACATTAGGTTTTGTGCTTTCAAGCTGATAATAGTGGTGAGCCATTAAGATAACAAGTTGCAACACCTTCAAGCTGTGTAGGGTACTATATATTGAAGTCAAAACATGTGCAGGAACATTCAAGAAGCAACACCTTAACTTCTTTGTTTGGAAATGTCATTGAAGTTCTGAGGAAGTCAGGGAGTTCGTGCATCATCCCACAAAATAGTACCTGCTGATTTTATAGAGCAACTAGATACTTTTTCTTGAGTTTGATTCTACAAATTTGAATTAGCTTATTTGGTGTTTCTAGGGTGTTGAACTAGATCATTTTTGTTATTTATTTTAAATCTTCGAGGGGCTTTGGTGTGGTCCTCCCCTCTCTTTGTACCTCTTTTTCCATTTTAATAAAATTTTCTTTTATAAATACATAAGTCAGTGTACGTATGTGTATGTGTTTGTGTGTGTATGTGTTTGTGTGTGTGTGTGTATATATATATGTATGTATGTATGTATATATATGTATATATATATATATATTAATGACAATATATTTATTCATAAAAATATAATTCTTATTAGTAATAATTGTAATTATGATTGGAGTTTTTGTCATAAAAATACTCTTATTAAATAATTTTAATGAGAGGACTTGTAACCCGTCATTATATGCAATTAACTACGGAGGCTATAGTGACGGTTGATGAGAGTAAATTTCCTCTCATTAAAATGTATTAATGACAGTATTCTTTACTTTAACTACGGTTTATTCTCACATTAAAGAGCATTTTTCTTGTAGTGTTATTTGATTGTTGTAAATATATTGTCCGAAAGTATGAAAGTAAAGTTAGAGAGCGTATCCATTTTCATTGTAAAAACGATTACCGTTACTCTTAACCTTTAAAATAGTTCTAGGCTTAAGAACTAGACTACTGTTTAAAACGAATATTCTTAACTTTTAAAATAGTTCTAGGCTTAATACGCACAATTCTCTTAAAAACAGTTTTTTAAAGTTATTTTAGATAACCGTGAAAAAAAAACGGTGTGACACACACTACTAGTAATACATTACGGTTTCTCAAAACTTTAAAAATAGTTCTAGGATTAATAGTCTAACTACTGTTTAAAAAAGGTATCCTTAATTTATTATTAATAACTTGTAATAAATTACGGTTTCTATGAATTTTAAAAATAGTTCTACGCTATATAAGTATATTACTGTTACAAGGGAGTCATCTATTCTTGTAATAAACAACTATGCAAAACAAAACCATATGAAACATACAACTAACAATAAAATACTATTTCTTATAAGTTTAAAAACAGTTATAAACTAAAAAACTAGACTACTGCTTAGAAATAGTAGTCTTAACTAATTATTGACAACTGTGGCAACAAAAACTGTATTTTTAGGTGAAACGGACTACTAATAAAAGATTACCGTTTCTCATAACTATAAAAACTGTTCTACCCTTAATTCATATACTACTGTTACAAAAGAGTCTTCTATTCCCATTAGAAACAACGGTGGCAAAAAACCATATGAAACAGACAACTAGCAATAAATAACTATTTCTAATAAGTTTAAAAACAGTTCTAGACTAAAACACCTTACTACTGTTTAAATAGAGTATTCTTATCTTGTTATTGACAACTGTTATAACAAAAACTGTATTTTGAACTGACACAGACAACTAGTGATAGATTACCGTTTCTCGAAACTTTAAAAATAGTTTTAAAGCATAGTAGCTAGACTATTGTTCTGTCGGCAAGAAAAAATCATAGTAGTCTGTTCTTTTTTAACTAGTGTGTTTCCATAAACAGTAGTTAATCAACAGTCGTCTGATACTGTTTTTGGCGTAGTGTGTTCCTATCGAGTTTGCATCCAGCAAAATTCGAGTCGAAATAGCCAACAAGATGACACGTCTAACCTTTGGGATACCAAAGACCTACGTTCAATGTACCAACAATATATCGCATTATCCTCTTAATCGCAACCAAGTGTGATTCTTTAGGACAAGATTGATATCTAGCACACCTACAAACGAAGTACATGATATCTGGTCTACTCGCGGTAAGGTAAAGTAGAGAGCCGATCATATCTCGGTAGCGTTTAACGTCTACCTATTTACCTTTATGATCCTTTTAGAGATAACAAGAGGTGCTCATTGGTGTGTCAATGGATTTGGATTCAGTAACGTTGAATCTCTTTAACAATTCCCTGCAATACTTTGTTTGACACACGAATGTACCTTCTTGCATTGCCTAATTTGTAGCCCAAGGAAGAACTTAAATTCTCCCATCATTGATATCTCAAATTTGTTTTGCTTCATATCAGAAAAATCTCTGCATAAAACCTCGTTAGTAGCACCAAATATGACATCATCTACGTAAACTTGAACCAAAAGGATGTCTTGGTTGACATTCTTGATAAAAATAGTAGTGTCGACTTGATCCTATTTTAACTCATGGTCCAAAAAAAATTTGCTTAATCGCACATACAAAGCATGAGGTGCTTGGTTGAGACCGTAAAGCGCCTTTTTGAGTTTGAAGACATGTTCGAGAAACTCATAGTCTTCGAAACCCGGGGGTTTTTCGACATAGACTTCCTCTTGAATGATACCATTAAGAAAGGCAGTTTTAACATCCATTTGATAAAGTTTAAAATCCATCATAGATGCAAAAGCAAGCAATAAGCGAATAGCTTCTAAACGTGTAACCGGTGCATAAGCTTCCTCATAATCAAAGCCTTCTTCTTGATTGTAGCCTTTAGTCACAAGCCTAGCTTTGTTTGTAGCGATTACTCCATTTTCATCAAGTTTTTTACGAAATACCCATTTTGAAGCATATAATGGAATTATCATTAGGTCTAGGCACCAACTTCCAAACATCATTATGTTTGAATTGGTTAAGCTCCTCTTACATTGCTATAGACCAATGTTCATCATTAATGGCGTAAAAAACAATTGTTGGTTCAATTTGGGAAACAAAAGCCATGTGAAAAATAGTGTCCCTAAGAGAATTAGGAGTCGAAACTCCTTGTGATATGTCACCAATTACATTGTCTATAGGGTGATTTTTCAACTTCTTTGTTCTGCATTTTCTCTTCTTCCGGTTTCGTTTGCTTGATGGTTTCTTCTTCTTCATCATATGAACCTGCAACATTTTCAACACCACCTCTTCTCGCCAAGTGAGCATCAAACTCATGGAACACAACATGTATAGACTCCTCTATGGTCTTAGTACGCTTTTTGAAAACTCTATATGCTTTGCTATGCAATGAATAACCTAAGAAAATTCCTCCATCATAATTAGTGTCAAATTTTCCCAAGTTATCTTTGCCGTTATTATGAATAAAAACTTTACATCCAAAGACATGAAAATAGGAAAGGTTAGGCTTTCTTTCTTTGTAAAGTTCATAAGGCGTTTTATTGAGTATCGGTCAAATGAAGGCTCGGTTTAGAACATAGCACGCGGTACACACGACATCCGCCCAAAAATATTTAGGAAGATTTGCCTCATTGATCATAGTTCTAGCCATCTTCTTCAAGAGATCAATTTTTCCATTCAACCACAACATTTTTCTGTGGTGTACGGGGAACTGAGAAGTTATGCTCAATGCCTAATTTATCACATAAGATGTCAAAGCCATCTTGATCAAATTCTCCACCATTATCACTTCTAATGGATGTAATGTGACAATCTTTTTCATTTTGAACCAATTTAATGAATTTTTTGAAACATTAAGTGCATCATACTTATGAGCAAGAAAATGTGTCCATGTATATCTAGAGTAGTCATCAACGATAACAAATCCAAAGTAATTACCTCTGAAACTCATAGTCCTTGAAGGTCTAAAGTAGGGGTGAGCACGTACCGAACTGATACCGAAATTTCCCGAAAAACCCGAGATTCCCGAACCGAAAAATACCGAACCGATAAAATACCAAAAAAGAACCGTACCATACCGAACCGAATGATCGGTCTGGTATTTGGGATCGGTACGAGGTAACTTCACATACTGAAAAATCCCGAACCGAACATATATACAAATACGTTCTAAAAATAACAATGTTTTTATATTTCTTCATTAAAAAATAAATTGATTTTGAAAAGTTGGTTCAAGTGTAGATGAATTACAAATAATATTTTATTTATATAATCATTTATTTTAATTTTATTTTTTTGTAGATTTATATAACAAAATTTAACAAATATTTGAAATATTATTTTCTTATCATTCATTCTCTTTTGTTTGTAAAATATGAAGTATAAATCAAACTAAGTTTTATAAGTATTTTTGCATTTAATTATTCATTTTCCAATTGTTTATCTTACTTTTATTTGAATGTACTTTTGATTTTTTTTAATAAAAAGTTTTGTACATTCCAAAGTATGAACTAGGTAAGTATATATATTCATCCCAATATTTACCGAAACCGAAACCGAATCATACCAAACCGATATTTTGGGATCGGGATCGGTACGATGTAAAATCCCATATCGAACCGATATATTTGGTACGGTATCGGTGCGAAGTAAATACCGTACCACGCTCACCCCTAGTCCAAAGAGGTCCATGTGCAAAAGTTGTAGTGACCTAGTTGTAGAAACTACATTCTTTGACTTAACGAAGCCCTTACTCGCTTACCCTTTTGACATGCATCACAAATTGGATTCTTCTCAAACTTTAGTTTAGGAATACGAATTACGTAGTCCTTAGAGACCAAGTTGTTAGGATGGTCCATGTTAACGTGAGCTACATGTTGATGCCATAGCCATGTTTCCTCTTCTCTAGTAATGAGGCACTTAGCCAAGGTAGATGGGGAATTTTCTAGATCAAACATGTAAATGTTATCTACTTTACTACCACAAACAATAACCTTATTGTCACACAAGGGTTCTACAATGCATTTACTAGAATAAAAGATGACACAGTTACCTTTATCACACAATTGGCTAATGCTAAGAACATTGTGCTAGAGACCTTCAACAAGAAGAATGTTTTCAACGGTCGAAGAATTGTCTTTTCCAACGATTTCACTCCCAACGATCTTTCCTTTGTTGTTGTCACCAAAAACAACATTGCCACCTTTGAAATAATCTATGTTCCTAAATTTAGATGCGTCTTCGGTCATGTGCTTGGAGCATCCGCTATCGAGATTCCAAGAGGTACTTGAAGCCTTCAAGCATACC